ACCGAACGGTCCGGGATTTTACCGTGTACCGTTGCATCCCTAGTTTCGTCATGTTGTTCTTTATGCTTAGAAGCTAGCTAAAATCAGTGAATGAAACACTGCCACAATGATGAAAAAATAACAATAGCATGTCATTTTACTGACCAATTAAGCAAACATCATGTATATTTGTAAAAAAAAAACTTCATTGCTTACTGGCTCTCTGTTGTCTCAGACGACAAAAACTTCTGTTGGTTGCAATTCGCAACCTCACCACTAGATGGCGCTTGACATTTAATGCACCATTAACAGTTTATCTAAAATTGCCAAAATGAAGTAGCCTGGTTAAAACCAGACCATTCTCAGTTGTAACTGAGTTATGGTCTGGCAAAGCGTCATAGACAAATCATTTTCAGAGGGGCGTCACCAACGGACATTGTGGATAGACCTAAAACCAATCAGAGCGATGAAGGAGATGACATATGCAGAGCGGCAGTCGGCGGAGAAATATCTCTGAGTGTTGTTCTTTGCTCGTTTTTTAACAAAAAGGAAACGTTCAAATCGGTTAAAACAGACGCGATAGCTGATTCGAATGAGTGGTGTTTGATGGCGGCATCCATCTTTGCACTGTAGGCTACACAATCTTTTTCAAAATATTTGTAAATACCTAGCAAATGCCTCACAAAGAAACCTCACTGACATTAAGAATTGACTTAATTTTACTTTTCTGTGATACGATGCCAGAAAGACGTCGTCAGATTACAAAGTGAAAGTGCTACTTAGAATAATTGCTGCTTCATTTACAGAATGCTGAAGAGGAAATGTGTTAAACAACAACACTTAAACCCAAATTTTGTTAAAAGCATTCTCCCATTATAGCTGCTAACTCTTTGGCTTTGTCTGAGATTCTTCATCTAGCCCTGATCTCAGTGTTGATGTCTATTTCAGAGCACATTTTTCCTAAGTGCAACTTATTTCAAGGAAAGTTATTTTTTCCTGGCAAGAGTCCACGAGTTCAATCCCTCACACACCTGTTTTGTGGGCACTGAAGTCTGTGAGAGACAGATTGAAAACCGCAGAGGGCTTTTGTTCTCAGTGGGGAGAGTTTTAAACGCCACTTTTCTATCTAACAGAAGCTGCAGCACCACTGCCTGACATGGGCGGTGCTGATTGCTCGTAGACAGCAGCTTTCCACATTCCCCCAGCAAAACATAACCTCATCAAACTCATGCACCGTCTTACTGCAGACTAAAAAGTCTCACCATTCAGACTATGGCTACGTCCACATTATTGCGGATACATTTGAAAACAACGTTTTCGTTTAAAAACACTCACCATCCACACTAGCGTTTTCAGGCGTTTTCCAACGTTTCAGTGTGGATGAGAAACCCAAACTGCGCATGCGTGAAACCTCACAAAAGCTCACTGAGATGATACAGATGGAAAAATAATAAAGTTATCGTGCAATTCTTCTAACAGAATAATTTTATTTAGCAAAATATCTCACCATCACTGATGCGTCAAGGTCGCAACCAGTCACCACATGTTTGGTCTAAAACGCAACTGCTCTCCTGTATTGCTGCAGGCCAGCAAATGTGAGTACATTTTCTTTGCAGTACTTTGATATGAAGAGAGTGCAAAGTAATATTTTAGCAACATTGTAAAAGTGAATAGCACATAACAAGCACACAATACTGGTAAACATGAATATCTACTGGTAAAACATGGATCACATGACTAAACTTGCGTTATCATTTTCAAATACCTCCGGCTTCACAGTCCACACTACAATGCGAAAATGGCGTTTTCAAATTTATCCGCTTTGGATAGCGTATTCCAAAAGCTACATTTTCATTGACATAAAACGCTGTCTCAGTGTGGACGGAAGGCCAAACCGGCCAAACCGTGTGGACATGGCCTAGCCTATACCTCTCCTGTACTGTAAACCAACACACTTTGCAAAGGTTTATTCAAAATGTTTTCAAAATGGTGTCCAACAGACCCCAACAGAAATGTTCAGAGAAATATACTGTTAATAAATCACTTAACATTTACAAAGTACTAAATCTAGTGGTGCACGATATATTGGGTGCCGATATAACATCGGCCGATATGGTCAATTTTTTACACATCGGTATCGTTCCGATGTCAAAATAGGACCGATAATCATTTGACGTGTGTAGATGTGAGTGTGGGGGCGGGGGTGTTTGTTTTTGCACAAGTGCATACAAGCACAAGTCCTGTCAGTTTAAACATCAACCAGAAGACTGGAACTTGCACGCTGTTTTCTGTCAGCCTTACTAAGGTGTATTTTTGTCCCGCCAAAGCCATATTTGACCGGTGAGTGATGTAGATGACTGACTGCTGCACTTGCTGAGAGAACAAGCAAAGAGAGTGAAAGCCCCGGTCGCGCGCGCACTCTAGCCGTCTTCAAACTGTCTTGCTCTCTCTCCCTCCCTCTCTCGCGCATATCAATGAATTGAGTTGACTGACTGACTGACTGACTGACTTTTTTTCTTAACTACCGCTGGTTGTGAATTGTGCTAAAATAACGTTGCCTTATCTTCTCTGAAAAGCTTTCCACACAGTCAGATGACAAACCAAACTTTCAATAAACCAAAATAATCTATCTGGTGATGAAATGTTTTCTGTGTTGAGACAAATCTTACGCGATGTCCTAAACTGCCTGGATAATCGCACAACGTGTGCCGTGGTCACGTCCGAATCGCGGACTAATGACTCCTTTGAACCGATTTACTTAAATGAATGGTTAAAATAACTGATCTGTCCAACAATGAACTCAAGAGACATAAATTGGAAACACTTCACAATAAGGTTCCATTTATTAAAGTGTACATTTGTTAACATTCTATCAATATTAGTTTCTATGTTTTACTCCATGACAAAACCACCCCAGTCATTCTAGAATGATTCATTCTTTCCAAATAGAGCTTCAAGTCATCTGGTGAAATAGTTTTTATATCGCAATATATATATATATATATATATATATATATATATAAATAATTGCAGAAAAAGAAAATATCGCAATGTCATTTTTTTACCAATATCGTGCAGGCCTAATCCTCACTATGTGTTTTCTATACAGAGATATCGACATTGGTAAATATCAGTATCGGCCATAATAGCAATATTAATATCGCTTATCGGTCTCAGCCACAATTTTCACATCGGTGCATCACTAACTTTTTGTTTGGTTTGAAATCATTACTTTGATTATTTTATTGGCACCTGTGGTTTTTATAAGAAATAATATAATTTATACATATAGCCTAGTTATGTGGAAAATAAATTATTTATCTCATACACATACTTTTAAAAGTACTACACCTTTAGTTTGATCACTAAGCAGTGTTTTAAGGCAATATTTTTCTGTAAAGCAAGCAGCTTTGGAACGTATATACAGTTCACTTACAGTGGCTAGAGTAGATACACTATGCTAGTTTTACAATATTTTGTATATAGATATATTATGCTACAATATTTTTTTTCTTCATTTTTTAGACTGAATATCTAATTTGGGTTAAGTCTACTATGTTTAGTAGTTTAAAACCCATTTAATTTTGATACAAATATCCTCCCTTACCCACACAGTTTAAATAGGTCTGTAAATTAAAATATTTCCAGATGATTTTGTACTTTAAGAAGGCAGCGCCACACATCGGAATTCAAATAATTGGAGCATACTTGTAATGAAAAAAAAAATGTGAAAACCTCTGCTTTAGTGCACACCAAACCAATCACATTTGGCTGCACCATAGGGACTTCTCATAGACTCAGTGGTTTTCACAAAGAGGCTATGACATTTCAATAAACATCAACACTGAGACACTGAGACTAACCCTCACTCAAACCTGTTAATTAGAGGGTGTAAACCTATATATATATATATATATATATATATATATATTTTTTTTTTTTTTTTTTTTTTTTTTTACCAATTTGCACAGCTTGCTAGTCTCCCCAATGTAGGTGGTCAGGTTTTGGCTCTGACAACTTAACAGTATGAGAAGTTAAATTACCCCTCTGATATGCTGTGTGTTAACAAAGAATGAAGATTAGCCGCCTACCTCTAAACATCATACACTGCTTTTGTACAAGACAATATTTAGTACGTTTCAAAATTGTTTCCCTAATTTGCCCAGCTTTCTGTCTCCTTAATGTAGGTGATGTGATGTTTTACTATTCTTAGGGTGTAGACAACACCTGACACTCACACATATACACACACACACTGCATCCTTTAGTGCAAGTAGGCTATCGGATGCTGTTCAATCACGGCAGATGTCCATAATCATCGCAAGCTTTTATTTGTGGAGTACCAGTAGCCTACTCCTCCCATCCAGCTTGATTACTTCCAAACAGATGAAATAAAATCGTCAATGAGATCGAAAAACTCAAGAAGTGTTTTTCTGCTCGCTCACGCCTTGGTGTGTGTCTGTGTGTGTGTGTGTGTGTGAGAGAGAGAGAGAGAGAGAGAGAGAGAGAGAGAGAGAGAGAGAGAGAGAGAGAGAGAGAGAGAGAGAGAGATCCATCTATTTTATGATTTTGTTTGAGTTTTCCTTCTTATTCTTTTGAGGTGATTACTTGAGAACTGACTTCTATTAAAGGTTTCAGGACATTTCTGTGTGAGATTAAGATAGCATGGCCTCAGATACCCAACAATTAAAGTTAGCATATACAAATTGTGTAAAGTTAACTGAAAATCTTAGTGAATGCATTAAAATCATGATCCAAAAAAAAACCCTCTCCAGTGGAAGTTCTATAAAATACAAAACATAATAGATACAATGAATAGCCTATTAATTTATTGATAATTAATATATAAAAAGCACTGCAATTTGGGCTGCAAACTGTATTGGTTAAACGTTAACTGCCTTTTAATTATGTGAGAAGATTGACAGGATTTCTAAAGATCTCATGTTTGGATGTAGACGAGGTTTAATACATTGACATAAGGTTTAAAAGTATTATTTCACAGAATAAATAAATTAACTTACAGTTACTCGCCGATAAAAAAGAAGTTAACGCGCTCAACGTCGTGAGGAAGAAAATTCCGATGCTGTTGTGGAATCTCATGTTTGGGAAAAGTAGTACTCTGCTCCACGCTTCCGAGGTACCTCCGACCGTTACAACCGTTAGGGAAAAAGCCAAAAAAGTCTCGTGAAGGTAGCGGTTTGACTCCCACCACAATGAGGTGCAGTCACAAATGAACACGCGCCTCCCGCCGTTTCCTCAGATCCCTCTGAAGGACTGATCCAACACTTGCGCGAGCGCTCTGCTTCTCTCTCTCTCTCTCTCTCTCTCTCTCTCTCTCTCTCTCTCTCTCTCTCTCTCTCTCAAACAGACACACACACACACACACTAGCTTAGATGTAAGTGGTGCGTTTTCGATTTCAGGACCACGGAGAGATCCGCAATTGGAAGATGTTCTCTCGCTGAGCATTTTTCTTTATCTTTAAAGTGTAATCATATTAAAGACATCGTTAAAATATCTCATGCGACTACAGTGGTTCAACATTAATTTTATGAAGCCAAGAGAGTACTTTTTGGACGCAAGATAAATACAGGTGAAACTCGAAAATTAAAATATCATGCCAAAGTTCATTTATTTCAGTAATTCAAGGTGAAACTAATGTATTATATTGACTCATTACATGCAAAGTGAGATATGTCAAGCCTTTATTTTATATAATTTTGATGATTATGGATGAGTCTATGAAAACCTCAAATTCAAATCTCAGAACAATTGAACATGAAATCAATTTAAAAAAAAAGATTTTAAATACAGAAATGTCAGCCCTCTGAAAAGTATAATCAAGCATATGTCCAATGTAGGCCTAATTTGGTTTGGGCCCCTTTTGCATGAATTATATACTGCCTCAATGCGATCAGCCTGTGGCACTGCTGAGGTGTTATGAAGATCAGGATGCTTCAATAGTGGCCTTTAGCTCTTCTGCATTGTTCGGGCTCATGTCTCTCATCTTTCTCTTTGCAATGCCCAATAGATTCTCTATGGGGTCAGACTGATCTCATGAAGTAAATGTTGATGGGGTTCAGGTGGGTCAGGCGAGTTTGCTGGCCAATCAAGCACACTAATCCCATTGTCATTGAACCAGGTTTTGGTACTTTTGGCAGTGTGGGCAGGTGCCAAGTCCTGCTGGAAAATGAAGTCAGCATCTCCACAAAGCTCATCTGCTAAAGGAAGCATGAAGTGCTCTAAAATGTCCTGGTAGACGGCTGCGTTGACGCTGGACTTAATAAAGCACAGTGGACCAACACCAGCCGATGACATGGCTCCTCAAACCAACAGACTGTGGAAACTTCACACTGGACTTCAAACATCTTGGATTGTGTGCCTCTCCATTCTTCCTCCAGACTCTGGGACCTTGGTTTCCAAATGAGATGCAAAATTTGCTCTCATCAGAAAAGAGGACTTTGGATCACTGAGTAACAGAGCAGTTCATTTATTCTTTAGCCCAGGTATGACACTTCTGACGTTGTTTGTTAAGCAGCTTGACAAGAGGAATACGGCATTTGAAGCTGTGTGGTAGCTCTTGATGCAGTAACTCAAGAGCCTCAGTCCTCTGATTGTGAAGCTCCCCCACACATTTGAATGGCCTTTTCCTGACAATCCTCTCCAGGCTACGGTCATCCCTGCTGCTTGTGCACCTTTTTCTTCCACACAAATTTCTATTAATATGCCTTGATGCAGCACTTTGAGTACATCCAACTTCTTTTGCAATTACTTTTTGAGGCTTTCCCTCCTTTTGGAGGGTGTCAATGACAGTTTTCTGCACAACTGTCAGGTCCGCAGTCTTCCCAATGATTGTGAATTCTACTGACTACAAACTAAGAGACCAATGGGCTCTATGCACGGCGGTATTTCCGGTGAAGCATTAGGGATGCTCGATAACTTCCGCCGATCGTAGAGTCCAATGCAATAGCAAGAATTTATATTGAATTTTATACTCCATGGTTATACTAATGAAACGTTAGTCACAAAAACAGATAAAACAGACACCCCTCGTTGTGTTTATGCTTCTTTTTAAAATTATATCAAATAAACATAACTGTATATAAAATTACATCTAAACGTATGTACGTTTCGTTTCAAAGACGGGAGGACAGTAAATATTGAAGACTCTGCCATAATCCCGTTTTCTCCGGTTTTCCTCCGCTTTAATCTACACAACCGGAAATAGACGAGCATCCTTGCGTCAAATGCGGAACTTATGCGTGCATATAGCCCATTAAAGGCTCGGGAAGGAACCCTTTGCAGGTGTTTTGGATTAATTAGCTGATTAGAGTGTGACACTTTGAGCCTAAAATACTAAACCTTTTCACAATATTGTAATTTTCTGAGATTTTGAATTTGAGGGTTTTTTCGATTTTTTTTTGTTGTATTAGCTATTTTGATTTTTTTCTTTGTATTGATGTAATGAATGAAATGAACAGTAAATAATAAATAACAAAGATAAACCAAATGAAATGTCAAACTTTTGACAAAAGGGGAAAAAATATACAATATGATCAACCCTGATCAAGTTCTGATTTGAAATAAATTTATAAACCCAAAAGAAAACAAATAAATTTGTCAACAAAGCTTTTTCTTTCTTGAATCTCTGGTTGATAAATTCCTTCTTTCTTACTTTCCGGCTGAGGTTTGAATTTCTTAGGTTCTCTAATTTAAATATTACTATTTGTTGTAGATTAATAAGTTTAGTTTCCATTTAATGTCCTAATTTTCCTGTCTTTACTGTAGGTTAAACCAGTCGCTTCAAATGCAAACTCAAATCAGTATTTTAACCCAGATGATAATTAGAGTAACAATTCACATAAATTTACCTCAAAAATGTACAATGTGTAACCAAATAAAACTTATTTTAAGAGATATATCTGTGTATATACCAAAAAAATGTAAATGAGATCACAAAATTGCAAAAATAAAGATTATACACACTTCAGTCCATTCGATACTTTCAGTTCAGAAAAATATACTGTACCTCGGTCCATTCGATAAATTCAGTTCAGAAAACTATACCTCAATCCATTCAGATTTCAGAAGGAAAACGACACCACTAAGTGGATGAAAAGGTAAGAAGTAAAAGATCCAAATTTAGTCTGGGATGCTCGCCATCTCTCTCTTCTCTCAGTACGGCTTGATGAATCCTCACCATGCACATAGATCACAGGAGAAAATCCAACTTCTACATAAACAAACTGGCCTGGTCACACAGGATAACGTTTTTAGAAACTCATTTCTAACCTCAGTTTCAACAATACACTCTTCAAATCAACATTTTGTGTTCATGTAACATAGGCCATTTACATACAGTGAACATATCACTTAATTTTAACACGCATACAATACATTGTAATCATCACATATATGAAAAATAAATCCACAACTCACCGATTCCTCTGAATTAACAGTGTTCTGTTAATATTTTGTCCAGATTACACCACGAACTAGCGATGACTCAACTAACTCATCTAGCGCGTTTTACAGTAGGCGGAGTCAGCATCGGGCGGTGACCCGGATGCGCGGCCATTACGGAGGCACTCGGATGTAAACAACAGCATGGACTGCACCGTTAATGTACTACTGAACACATTGTTAAACTAAAGAAACACAGAAAAAACCCGAGGTAGGTGCGAAATCATATAGAGAAGGACTTATCAAGCAGGAGAGAGTGCAATATTTTGACAAACTAAAGTTAATATGTGGTAAAGGTCCAAACGAGCTAGCTTCTCTAGCCCTACTGCAATTCTTCCTTCTATTTCTTATTCTGACATAGGCTATGTTCATATTGTCAGCCCAAAAAAGCACATGAAATCCGTTTCAAGCTACATCCACATGTGGTTTGAAATCCTGTTCAAATACCAGGACATGCCTCATGTCTGAACGTTCGGATTTCGGCAACGTTAACATTTTAGCCATAGTCAAAGCTTCATTTACGGTACAGATGTGGCTGATGCTGTGCCTCTCTCAACCACAAACATCAGTTTTTTTTTTCTTCAGTTTTTTTCATTCATCATTTTTTTTGCACTCTTCTCTTTAACTTTTGGCAGTCTATAGAACTCGAAAGGTATTTTCCCGATGCCAACGATTAGTACAGACCAAAACTCGACCATTTTTCAGCAGAAATAATCATCCAAATATGCGAGTGCGTTCAGTTCAATGGCATTGTTTATGTTCCGTGCCTCCAAAATGGCCGACTTCCGGATTGATGACTCCAACTCTAATTGGATCAATTTTTCCGCAGTAAATTGCATATTACTAATATAATCGGTCTTTGTCAGACACTGTGGGTTTGTTTTGTGTGACGTCACTGCGGCGCCATTTTTGAGGTATCGCTACTGACTGTGTGCATTGAAGAATGCAGAAGCACAAGAAAACTGAGAAAATGCCTTATTGCAATGAACTCGAAAAATATGGCAGGTACCGTTTTTTGGAGAATTTGTTATCCATTCAGAACATAGATTCATATATATGAGCTGAGCTGACTGCAGTGAGTTGGAGTGCTGATCCCGCATTGCTTTCTCATCCTCATACTTGGGCATTGTCAACTATCTTGTTTATGGTACTGAAATTATAAATCTCTTAAAGCCTGCGGACATTTCAACAAGTTGCTGAATGAAAAAACAATTCTCCAACAACAGAATACCCCAGCACCGATACCTTACAAATGGCGGCTACGCCCATAATGCACTGACGTCACCTGACAAAGACCGATTAATAAAGCATTTTATTTATCTATATTTTCTTTTATCACTGTCTTTTTTTTATTTTACATAAAAAGTTTTACTGGAAGCGTGAACACGCCAAAAATATACTTTTTCTATTAACTGCAATTTGACTAATTTGAGTCTGGGTTACACCACCAATAGTCTCTACAATCAATTTAGACTTACAATGCTTTTGGGAAACGCACCCCAGATTGATTTTTTTTTTTTTTACATGTACTGCGTTAGATTAATCTGAGTTGGGTCATAGCACTTGCTTATTGTTGTCCTACTGTTAGTTTAACTGCTTCTATTGTTCTCATTTGTCAGTCGCTTTGGATAAAAGCGCCTGCTAAATTAATAAATGTAAATGTATTTTCTCGAGCCACAAAGACCCTTGTGACAATTATTAATGACTGTTATATTTGATTGTCTCCTGATATTCAAAGGGAAATCAATCATAAATTTGTCTCTGACTTTTCCTGATCCGCTCCTATCTATCCATGATCACT